CCATCATCATCATCATCATCATCATCATCATCATCATCCTCATCATCATCATCATCATCAGCATCAGCATCAGCATCATCATTATCATCATCACCATCATCATCATCATCATCATCTTCATCATCATCATCATCATCATCATCATCATCATCATCATCATCATCATCATCATCACCGTCAGCAGCATCATCATCGTCATCGCCATCGCCATGGTCATCAGCATCATCATCATCAGCAGCAGCATCAGCATCAGCATTATCATCATCAGCATCAGCATCAGCATCACCACCATCAGCATCATCAGCATCATCAGCATCATCAGCATCGCCATCATAATCATCAGCATCATCAGCATCATCAGCATCATCATCAGCATCATCAGCATCGGCAGCAGCATCATCATCATCGCCATCGCCATCATCACGATCAGCATCACCATCATCATGTTCATGACAAGTATCAGCGTCATCATCAGCATCATCATCAGCAGCAGCATCAGCATTATCATCATCATCATCATCAGCAACATCATCATCGCCCTGCTCTTCCCATTGTTCCTCCTCCGCTTCACGAATGTTCTCCTCATCCTCCTCTTCGTTGCGCTGCGAGGCACCGCGCCCCGAATCTCCTCTTCCTCCTCCTCCTGATCCTTGCCGTCGCTCCTCCGATTCCTCCTCTTCATCCTCCCCCTCCCCCTCCTCCTCCTCCTCCTCCTCCCTCTCCTCCTCCTCCCCCTCCGCCTCCTCCTCCTCCTCCTCCTTCTCCTCCTCCTCCCCCTCCTCCTCCCCCTCCTCCTCCTCCTCCTCCTCCTCCTCCTCCTCCCCGTTTCCCCTCCTCCTCCAGGCAGGGAAAGCCCGAGCAAAGCCGGGAGTGGGAGCAGAGCGAGGGGGAAGGAGGAGCACGACGAGGGCGATGGCGAGGAGGCAGCAAGAGGACGGGGCCCAGGGACACACAAACAAATGCATTTTCTTCGCCCCCGCTTCCCATATTTCCCATATTCTCCTAGGGATCGACGATGAATTCTGTTTGTCTGTATTTTTCCTTCCTGAAAAAAGGGAGGAAGGAGAAGCACGAGGGCGAGGACGAGGACGAGGGGAAGAAAATGGCGTCCTGGAAGACCATGAAGTCGAGGAGCGTCACGGAGGACCCGAAATTGAGGCTGGCCTTTACAGTTCGCATCTGCGCCAAGCAATCCGCGACACCCACGTGGGTCCCGGCGAGGGGCGCGCCCCAGCGAGCGGGCACCGCCAAACTTTTCGCCTTTTCCTCCTTCCCGCTCCTTCATGTTACACCATCCCTCCATCCATCCCTGTCCCCCTTCCGTCCCACACCCCCTCCTTTGAAAAAAATGCATAAACGTAAACGTTTGGCGTTCCGCGCGGATTTCTTGGATCCACACCGGGCCCCCTTCCCTGGCGCGCGAAGCCGCCAGGGGCGGCGCCAGAGGCGCCACCAGGGGGGCCCCAGCGCCGATCCACAAAAAACCCGTGTGGAGCGCCAAATGTTTATGTTTATGGTCCCCCTCCCTCCTCCCCCCCTGTTCCCCTCCCTCCGGCCCCCCTCCCTCCTCCCTGCTCCATCCCTCCTCCCTCCCTGCCCTCAGGAGGGGAGGGGAGGCGGGGTCCGGTTCCGCACGTCGGTGACCGCAGGGCCAGGCGCACCGCTTGCGTTTACACGGAGCTTTTTGCGCAGACAAAGCTGTCCACTCTGCGTTCGGCACCACTCGCGGGGTCAACGTCGCCTCGTCGACGCGCCGCGCCCAAAGGTTTAGGCGCCTTCGGCGCGCGGTGGTTCTCCGCGCCGGCTGGAAGTTGGGGGGCCGCCGGCGGAAGGAGGAGAAGGAAAAGAAGAGGAGGTGGAGGAGCAAGAGGAGGAGGAAGGGGAGGGGGAGGGGGAAAACGAGGAATCGGAGGAGCGACGAGGAGGAGGAGGAGGAGGTGCAGACTAACCGGCATGGCGATTATGTCGGTCATTGAAATGCGCAGCTCCTGAAAATAACCGCTGTACTTCTTAAGCAAGAAACCCGCCCGCTGGGGCCAAGGTAATCTTGACCATCAGTGGGCCCCGCACGCTTGGAATCACGCGCTGCGTTGTGCGAGTTGCGATGGCAGCAACATGCCCGGATGTTGTGCAAAACTAACGCCCGAAACCCAAGTGATGTCTGTTTGGGCGTGGGTGTCGTGGGAGGAGAAAGAACCGACATGCACACCCTGCGCCCGTGAAAGCTGACGATACACGCTATCGACGTTAACATAATCAAAACATCGTAAGTTCAGCGACCCGGCCTTTCTTCGCAAACGAGGTCGACCCCAAGCAACGAGAACAACGACTGCCGTTTTCTTTGAGACAGCGCTGGGTACCGAAAAAAACACAAACACTGGCCGCCGGCGCTGGCCCCTTGCTTCCGCCTCCTCCGCTCGGATAGCCTCTACCGTGCTGAGCAAAATGCGGAAGGTGCGCCGCTGGATCTCCCCAAAAGGGGGGGGGGTAGGAACCCCACCCCCCCCTTTCCCCCCTTCCCCGATCCGTCGTCGGGGACCCCCCCCCCTCCCCCCCTTTCCCCGACCCGTCGTCGGGGACCCCCCCCCCCCTCCCCCCCTTTCAAAAGGGGGGGGGGGTCGAACCCTTCCCCCCCCCTTCCCCCCTTTCGCCACGCCGCCCCCTGACGCCAGAACCCGACCCCCGTCACCCCTACCTCAAGTCCTCACCCTAACCCAAACCCCGAATCCGAACCCTAACCACTAACCCCAGCCCCAAAGGGAGTCACTAGGGGCCCCCCACCCCTTAACCACTAACCCCAGCCCCCTACTCACTACACCCTACTCACTACTCGCTATTTGCTACCCACGACTCACTACTCACTATCCACTACTCACTACCCACCACCCACTACTCGCTACTCACTACTCCCTACTCACTACTCCCTCCTCCCTACTCACTACTCACTCCTCGCTAGCCACGACTCAATACTCACTACTCACCACTCCCTATTCACTACTCAATAATCACTACTCATTGCCCACTACCCACTATCCACTACTCACTACTCACTACTAACTACTCATTGCCCACAAATCACTATTCACTACCCACTACTCGGTACTCGCTACTCCCTACTCCCTAGACAATACTGACTACACCGTACTCAGTACTCGCTACTCGCTAGTCCCATACTCGCTACTCAATACTCACTACTTACTCTCCGCTACTCACTATTCACTACCCACTACTTACTACTCCCTACTCACTAGTCAACACATAGCCTCTAATCACTAGCCACTACCCACTAGTCACTAGTCACTAGTCACTTCTCACTACCAACTACTCACCAATCGCTACTCACTACCCACTGGTCGCTACCCACTTCTTAATACTCACTGCTCTCTACTCCCCACTCCCTACTCCCTACTCAGCACCCACTACTCACTACCCACTACTCGCTACTCCCTACTCGCTACTCACGAATCACTACCCACTCCTCACTACTGACAACACTCTACTCGCCACTCACTACTCACTACTCATTACGCCCTACTCGCACCTCACTACCCACTACTCGTTACTCCCTACTCGCTACTCACTACTCACTACCCACTGCCACTACCCACCAGTTTCTTTTCACTATTCATCAGTACTCACTACCCACTGCTCACTACGCACTACGTACTACTCAGTACTCACTACTCACTACTCACTATTCACTACTCACCACTCGCTACTCACTACTCAATACTGACTACTCACAACTCACTACCAACTGCCACTACCCACTACTTTCTATTCACTATTCATCACTACTCACTACTCACTACTCACCACGCACTACGTACTACTCAGTACTCACTACTCATTACTCACTATTCACTACTCACCACTCGCTACTCACTACTCACTACTCACTACTCACTACTCACTACTCATTACTCCCTACGCACTACGCACTACGCACCACCCACAACTCACTACTCACTAATCACTACTCGCCACCCATTACTCACTACCCACAGCTCACTACCCACTACTCATTACTCCCTACTCCCTACTCAGTACTCACTACTCGCTACTCACTACTCACTACTCGCCCCTCACTACACTACTCCCCACTCCCTACTCCCTACTCCCTACTCGCCGCGCACTACCGACTACTCATACGCACTACTCACTACTACTCACTACCTTGCACTCACTACTCACTACGCACTAACTCATTACTCAATACTCGCCACTCCCTACTCCCAACTCCGCACTCCCTACACGAGGGGAAGGGGGGTCCGACCCCCCCCCCCCCTTTTCCAGCGCCAAGGGGGGGAAGGGGGGGGGGTCTGGACCCCCCCTCCCCTTCAAGGGAGGGAGGGGGGGGGGGTCGCTGACCCCCCCCCCCCCCCCCCTTCTGGACCTTCAGGGAGATCCACTGGCGCGCTTTCCAAAATGCGCACACGCACAAGAAAGAGGGGGTGACCTGTGCCTGGTGCACGCGCGCGCGCACACTCAGCACACTCGCACCTGCGCATCACAACGACAAACGCGCAAACCCGGCTCCTGCGGCCACGAACGAAATCGGCAACCTGATTACCGAGGATGAGGAAACGGGGGGCGCGAGGCCGAACCATGTGCGAGTTCTTAAATACGAGAATGCAAATCAGATGCGCTTCGCGAATCAGATCAACCCCCTGCGTCTGCATCGAAAATCAGCACACTTATCGAAGGCGCCCTTTCCTCTTTGACAGCACCACCCTGCGCGCGCAGACGAACTGTCACGCACATTTGCAACGGTGCCGCCACAGCCGCGAATCCACAAACAATAAAGCCCACCCCGAGCATCCGCCCGTCTGGACCCGGGAAGCGGCCCCCAGAAGACTGCCGATGCGGCGCCAGTCCGAGGACCACCAGCCGAAGCCAAAGGCCCTGCGTCGCCTATAGGCGACGCAGGGCCTTTGGCTCGCATCCCCGAACACGAACGGGGGTTTTGCAGTTGCCCCTTGAGCGGCATCCGGGAAAATGCCAATGCCCCCGGGCGGCCGGCGGCGATGCCTGAACCATCGACTTAGGATGGGGCCCACGGGTCCGCAGACATTCGCCAGCATCGCCCAGTGGGACGAAAGGTCCGCCCACCTCGCTCACCGGGCGCCCCCCCCACCCCCCACCCCACGCCGTCGCGACTTCAAACCCGGTCTAATCTAAACCGCAGCGGCGTCTGCGAGGTGGCCCCCCCGCCGCCTGCAGCACGATCAGCGCGGAAAAGCACATCGCTACAAAGCGGCACGAAACTCAACAACATTGAAACTGCGTTGCTGCGATTCACACGGAACCAAACACACTCGAGCTCGCCCTCGCACCCAACAAATGTTTCACCCACTCGTTGCGTCGGGGAAGCCACGCTCCCCTGTCCTGCGCCACGTCTGCCAATTTGACATCGGGGCCTCGGAAATAACAGTCGCACTGGCGCCCCCGACTCCTGGGCGCAAGCCCGATGGCTCGATGGAACCTGTTTCGCCCCGCCGTCTGCATCTCTGACGCCGCGCGGAGATCTGCTGCCGGCGCACGGTGGCCCGACGGGCCCTCGGCTAGGCAGCGCCAGACGCAGCAGCCAGAAAGAGACCCGATAGCCTCTTGCCGCCTATTGTCTGTTTCAACCGCGCCAAAGACTTGCTATATGATCGGTCGCGAATGCCGCCCCCCATTCCCGGGGCCCCGAAGCGCCGCGGCGCCCCCCCCCCCCCTAACGCGTCGACCGCCGCGCCCCCGCGAGCGCACCAGGCGGAACAGCGCGACCGGCACGCCCCAAGCGCGCTACTGCACTGACCTGGCACGCCCCATCACGTCGGCGAATGCGCATTCCAGCCCGCATTGTCAAGGCCGTTGGCCACGCCGCCTTGCGGCCCAGGAACATCAAGACAGCGACGTCACGGGGGGGCGCCCCCCCGCGCTCACTTCATCGCGAAGCTCGGACAGCCTGCGAAAAATATGCAGGCCTCAGACGCCCGCAGATTAACGCTCGCGCGCGCGTTGTTTCCTGTCCGAGGGGGTCGAGCGCCGCGAGGGCGATCGACCCCCTCAGCTCGACAGCAGACGCCCCCGCCGACGGGCCCCCTGGCCCCTGGGTTCGAGTGCTGGACGCGGGCGCCCACGTTCACGCTATCCTCCCTGATGTGGCCATCTGCCAAGAGGCCCCCCTGGCAAGGCACCCCGACGGCTCGCGCGGCCGCCACCGCCAAGAGAGCCCCGGGCTGCAGTTGCGCCCGGTAGCCGGGGAGCCGGGCCCGCAGGTCGGCGCGGCGCCGCCGCCTCGGGAAGAGGCGGCCAGCAGCGCTGGCCCAGCACGGGGGAGTCGGACAGGGCCGCACTCATCCGCCTGCTCAGCCAATGTCCAATCGCCCCCATCCGCCCTCCACCGACAGCGGCTCAGACGGCCCCCATCCGCCGTGGCCTCGCGACGGCCCTGGCCTGGGACGGCTGCGGCGGCGACGACGACGACGGCCCTCCCCCACCTGGTTCGCGCGGCCCCCCCGCACCAGAGCGGCCCTCGCCCAGGGGGCGCCAGGGTTCCCGGGGGGCCGGCGGAACCCCTGCACGAGTCGCTGTCGCGCTCAGCAGCGAACCTAGTCCGTTGGGGAAGGGCGGCGAAGGGCACCTGGGCGCGCCCACGGGCGGCGGGGATTCCCTGGGAAGAGGAGCATCCTGGAAGAGCGGAAGAAAAGGACATCCTGGCACCGCCGCGCGTCCCGGAGAGAACCCTCGTCGCAGCGGCCAGCTGCCGGAGGCGACCTGGAAAGCGTGGATCCTTGCGCGCCGCTGCTCCTCGCCCCCAGCCCGCCCCCTCATGCGCCGCGGCGATCCCCACCCCAGGTTCGCCGTCGGTCGAAGGAGGAGCGCGGCGCCATTCCACCAGCCCACGCCGCGACTAGCGCGGCGGAACGGGGGGGGCGGGGGGGGAGGCCACGACCGCCTCCTCGAGCTCAGTTCGGACGGGCCCCGAGCCGGCGGGCCAGCCGAGGGACAAAGGCACGAACCTAGGCGCGCGTCGCGGCGAAGCCGGACAGGGCCCCAGCGCGCCCTGCCCCCCCGACACGCAGCGGCCTCACACTAGGGGCCACCGCTGCGAAAGGGAGCGCGGCCCACCGCTCTCCGGGCAGTCTCCACCCCGGGGCGATGCGGAGAAGGCCTCGCCACGTCTCGCCGCGATCAGCGACTCCAAGCAAGCGGACAGACCCGCGCGGGCCCCCCCGCGACGGGGGGTAGCGGAGCCCTGGGCCCAGACCCGCGGAAACCTCGCCGCCACGGCTACATTCGCGGGGAGCCGGGGGGCGCGAGGACGGAAGAAGACGAGATCCCAGCACCGCTGGGCGCCTTGGAGACCCTTCGTCGCCACGTCAGGAAAGCGGAAACCAGCAACGCGATGAACTACAGCCTCAGCCTCGAGAGCAGCACGGCGGAGGAACGGGCCCCGGACCCAGTCCCGACACCGCTGGAACGGCCGGGAGACCCAGCGGCGCCTCACCGGGCCCCGACTCATCCAGAAGTGGGCCTAGCGCGGGCGCCGAACAAAAGGTTACCACGAGCAACGGCGCCCCCAGGGACGGGACTTGCGCATGCTACGCGGATCAGCCAGCGCGCGAGGCGCCCCTTCACGCCCGGCCCACCGCCCCCATCGGCGCCCCTGCCCGCCGCCCGGCCCGCCAGTCGGGGCGGCGCGGACCGTCCGTAGGTCAGTGGCTTCAACCCGCGACCAGGCCATCGCCGAGAAGCATCCGCACGTGAACCCACCGCCAGCCCCGGAGGCTCCTCGCTCCTCCCCAGTGACGACGGGCGCTGGTGGCTCCAGCAGCACGGCCTGCTCCAGCGCCAGCTCGCGAAGGAGGACACCTCTGCCTGCACAGCGTGAGCCCCTGCTCCTCGTCAAAGACACCTGGGCCACGGTGCGGGACACCCGCGTCTTATGGGACTCGTTCACCTCGGACTACAACAAGCAGGGCAAGGGGCGGGCGCATCCCGAGGATGTCCCAGCACGCGTCCTTCTCGACTTCCTCAACTCGAAGGGGGCCCTGGGGGCCCAGGACAGGAAGCTGCAGCAAACAAGGGTGAACCCGGGGCGGCCTGGCGCAGACTCTGCGCTCCGCGTGGCGGCGGCGCCCGCGACCCCAGCCGGCACGACGCCACTTTCTCCCGCTGCTTCCATGCACCGGCATCCCTGTACTCGCAACAGGGAACAGCACCATCACGGTGCCCCCAGACCGGCCATGCAGCGTCCAGCCCGACAGCGCGTGGCCCCCGACAGCCTTCGGCCACAATTTTGACACAAGTAACTGCACCGACGAAGTGCCCCTAGACCGGACATGCGCTGTCCACCCCGGCAACTCTCGGCCCCCACAACCGCAGCCAAGGCCCCCCGCGGGCACCTGCAGCGCTGGCGCTGGGCCAGTGGCCCCGTCGCCCCGCCTGCCGGGGTCTCCCTGCAGGCGGGGCGTTCCTCCTCCTCCTCCCTGTTCCATGTCTCCGCCTGCTCCCGCCTCCCCCCCTCCCTCGCGCGCCGCCATGGCGCTTGCGGAACTGCCGCCGCTGGCAGCCTCCCCGCGTTTTCGGGATCCCGGGCCTGGTTTCGCCGCTTGTTCCCCTACGCTGACCCAGCACGTTGCTGGAGGCAGTCCAACTTGGACGCGCACGTACTCGCCGCACCTTGCCCAGTGCCCCCCACCTGGGAAGCGCGCGGCCCCCGCAGTCCACCCTGCACCTCGTGCACTACGTCGACGGCGTCGCTGTTTGTTCACTTGCAGTACTCCAGATTTCGTAATAAAAGGGAGGGGGCCTGGACCCTCCAAGACAAGCCATTTCAGACCTCCCCCGTGGGAGAACCCTCCAAAACGTCGTCCCCAGACCCCCCAGGCCCTCCAAGATAGCCTGGAAGAGACCCCCCCCGAAACGAACCCCCCCTCCCTTTCTTACGAAATCTGGAGTACCCGCACTGGGCCCCGCCTGCGCCTGTGGGCGCACCGGCGCTGCGGCCCGGCTGCTGCCGCGGTCCCCGCGCCAGCTCACACGGGGAGGAGACCCGTCCGCCCCGGAGTGGCCCTCCGCCCCTCCCCCCCTCTGCGGCCGCCCGCTCCGTCCAGTTCTCCCGCTCGCGCGTGCCAGTTCGCTACAACGGCGCCCCCGTTTGGCTCACTCGCCAGCGCTGTCACCTCGGCCTCGCCGCCGACGAACAGAGTGTGTTGTTTCCCTGGCCCCCGCAGGCCGCAGCTCTGCAGACAGAGCGTCCAACTCCACGCCCTCTCTTCCTTCTCATCCCCTGGACTCCGAGGATAGTTTTGCGCAGAGGGTACCTGTACCCTACACGCCACAACCATGCCTTGCCAGGGACATCCAAGGCCCTGACATGTTGCATACGCCCTTCTGGCCCAAGCCAGAAGGATCTGCACACCATCCCAGGGGCCAGGATGGCCCTGACCAGGCGCATGATACACCTCCTGCGAACGTTTTGTGGGGAAGGCACAATAATAAAAACTGCCTAAACATAAATTTTCGAAGGCCCGCGCGAAAATCTTGAATCTGCGCTGGGCACCCGTCCGCTGGGCGGGGTGCAGCGCCAATCCAAGACATCCGCCTGCACCTCCGAAGATTGATGCTTATGCCGACTGTTGCCGCGCGAAGGGCAAGCAGACGTCTTGTGGTTCGCGTGTGTATGGGGGATGGACAGACCTCCCTTTAGCAAAACGTGGTTCAGTGCAAACGACCTCGGGCCCAAACCTGGCGGGCGCATGCCTGGGAAATGACGGCCGCGGCGCTCTCTCGAGAACCGAAAACGGACAATTCACTCATCGACGTGTGAGGGTAGGAGGGTTGTCCACCCCCGTGTGTAGATGCCTTCTGCGGGCCTTCTGTCGGGGAGGGGCCGCAGCCTGTCCAGATCGACGGAGAAGCCATCCGCCCGGCCCCTCGGCGTGCCTGGAGAAACCAGAAAGCTGCCGGTGCCGCTGCTCGCCAGACCACTCGAGAGGACACAAGAACCTTCCGAGGGCCACATTGCCACAGGAATGTGGGAAGCATGGGTCGCGAGACACAGGACACAAGGGTAACCTTGATTTGGCAGGGTCGACCTACTAATCTGGGCCGACTGTACTCCCCAGACCCCTCCTCGGGTGCGATCTGACCAGAACTTCGAAGCGAGACCAGCGGTGGCGACGAGGGCCCCCAGTGAGGCCCAAAAAGGGGAAAGCGAGGCAAGGGTAGCGTTAAGTCGGGCATGTCCCTCTACAGAAGGAAAACTCAAAAATAGTCATAAAATACTCTGGGGACGATTTTAAACTATGATTGACCATTTGTACGAGACCTATGTTGCTTCACATCAGCAATTTGGCCCCTGCTGACTTTTTTCAAAATAGTAGATTGGGATGAAACGCTGCCGCTGGATATATCGAGCACAGTTGATCACAACACAAACGCTCCTGCGATCCCCGCCAACATGGCAAGAAATGGTAAGCTCAGATCCGCATGGCTACATTGCAACCGAACCGCTTGACCACCATATCGACCGAACTGGCGGAATTCGACCACGCGTCCGACAAAATACGTTCGACGAGGGATGCGCTGCACAATGCCCCGGCCACGGGCAGCGCTACGAGGGAAAGCGGGCCCTTCGATGTGTCACTTCAGCGCCCGTGAAAGTGACACCTCCCAGGGCCCACTTAAAGAGCACCAGAAAGGCTCCAAGAAGGCCCCGAGAAGGCCCCAGGGCGGCACCAAGAGGGCTCCCAGAGGGACCCAAGAGAGGCCCCAAGAAGGGCCCAAGAGGGCCCTCCGCGGTGTCACTTTCAACGCCCGTGAAAATGACACCTCCCAGGGCCCACTTAGGGCCTCAGAAAAGCTCTAAGAAGGCCCCGAAAGGGCCATAGAGAGCCGCCCTGGGTTCAACTCCGCGTGGCGGAGTTGGAAGCGATAACTTCAATACCCTACTGGAGGCCTCTTAGGGGCCCTAAGACGGCACTGAAGAACCCCATCGGGGCTTTTTCAAAGGCAGAGGAGGGCGCAAAAAGGGGCCTCAGTGAGCCCCTGGTCTAACTCCACCTGGCGGAATTGGAAGCGATATCGCCCGGCGCCTTCATGGAGCCGCTCGGAGCTTCCAAGACGGCTCCAGAAGGCCCCAGGAGGGCCCCAAGAGGATCGAACGACGATTCCTGGAAGTGCACCAGTGAGACCCTTGTTGACCTCCGCCTGGCGGAGTTGGAAGCGACAATTTCCAGTGCCCTCTTGGGGCCTCTGGGGGGCCCCTCAGAAAGCTTTGGGGAGCACAGTGAAGGCCTTCGCAGGGCCGCGTGAGAGCCGTACCAGGGCCGCATGTGTGCGCGGATGGGGGCGACGAGTGCTGACGCTGACGAATATGAGAATGATGAGGGCGATCAAGGCTGGCCCGAAACAAATCCTGGCGCCATTGCAGGCCGCCGATTATCGGCCACGCCGCCAGGACGACGCCAAGCAACAAAACGACACCAACCAACAAACCGACACCAACCAACAAACCAACAAATCGACACGGGCCAACAAAAGGACACCAAGCAACAAAACGACACCAAGCAACAAAACGACACCAACCAACGAAACGACACCAACCAACAAAACGGCACGAATCAACAAAACGGCACCGACCAACCAAACGACAAATCACTTCACGACACCAATGAACAACGCGAAATCCACCGACCGCCAACCAAGCATAAAATCAACCGACACAACGAAACCAACCCATAGAGCCAGACCAACCACTGGATTCGTGAGTCGGGGTAGTCATGGAAGTGAGCCGCTGCAGCCCGCGGAAGCCATTAACAGTGACCAGAGCACCGCAATGCAGCAACGTCCCTGGGCGGCGGCGGGAGTCTTGGATCTCCCGCGGGACTGGAGCGTAGCGAGTTCGTCCTGGGTCCGGTTTAGTGAAGTGAAGAATTTCGGGGTGCTTGCATGGCAAAAACCTTCACTTCACTAATCTGGGGCCCCTGGAGCCCCAGGGCGTTTCAGGTCCCCTCGCTGTCTGGGTAGTCCAGGGGGCGCAGTGGCGGCTTACCAGAGGCCCTGTTCCCTAGCCTCACTTGCTTTCACCCGTGGTGCTCGACGGCCGTCTCGGAGCTGTCTTGTGGCGGTCTGGGGCAATCCCGAAGCCTCTTGGAGCCATCCCAAGGCCCCAAGGCGCCACCAATGGGGGCCCCAAGAGAGCTCCCAGAGGGCCCCGAAAGGCCTACAACAGATTGCACGTTCGCGCGAATTCTTTGTACCACTTTGGGGGGTCCCTCTTGGGGCCCTCGGGGAACGTTCTTGGGGCCCTCCGAGGGCCCACTGGGGCCCCGGGAAGGCCCCAAGAACGCTCCCAGAGGGCCCCAAGAATGCTCCAAGAGGGCCCCAAGAGGACCCCCACAAGTGACAAAAACTATTTGCATGAGGGTGCAACTTACTCGGCGCCTCTTGGGGCGCTCTTGGAGCCGTGCTGGGCGCCACTCGTGGACGACATGGGCTGGGCGACGGCATGTGGACCCTGTCGCTTGGGCCATCGGGGGTGCTCCCCAATGGGGCCACGAAGCTTGTGAGCGTATGACGGAATGGGCTGGGCGGCGGCCTGTGGGCCCTGCCTGTGGGGCCGTCGGTGTAGCTCCCCGTGGGGCCACGAAGCGTGTGAAACGTATGCCGAAATATGCTGGGCGGCGGCCTGGGAAACCTGCCGCTGGGACCTTTTTTTGGTGGAGCTGCCTATAGGGGCACGAAATGTTTGAGGGTGTCATCAATGTGGCCTGGGCGACGGCATGTGGACCTTGCCGCCGGGACCTCCGATGAGCTCCTCATGGGGACACGAAGCGTCTGAGGGGCGTGCGGACATGGGCTGGGCGGCGCACTAAGGACACTGCCGATGGGGCCTTCGGTGGAGCACCTCACAAGGCCACGAGACTTGCGGGGGATGTGGCGAAGCAGAGACGCGGGGGAACAAGGGGGGTGTTTTGATGATGTTGATGAGGATGGTGGTGGTATTGATGATGGAGACGGCGAGAATGCTGATGATGCTGATGATGATGGTGATGGCGACGATGACGATGGACGATGACGACGGAGACACGCGGAGAGCAGGGGCAGATACGCGAAGAGGGAGGACGAGGGAGGGGGCCGGAAGGAATGACGCGGGGCGGTGTCTCTTCAAAACGAAGAACCAACACTGCAATATGGTAGGAAATTTCTGGACGACCCCCCCCCGTGGCGCGGTCAATGTCCGCGACAGCATCGCTGGCACTACGAACGAAATGATCGAACTCTTCCTGCGACGTTACCCGCGGGGTGGATCAGCCAGGGATGGGGGTCGAAACCGCCCCAGCGCAAAGCAAATGTACAATCCTGAGAAACCCCAGCCCACATCAACCGATCCGCAACAAGCACGCAAGCCTTTGACGACCCCAACGCACGTGACATCGCATAACGCGACGCGCCATCGAAAACGTTCGACGCGCGGCCTCGGAATGACATGGGGCTTCCTGGAACGTCGAATGGAAAACGTGAAAAACCGCCCTGTGGGCTCCGAGACCCAAAACTACTGATGTGAAGGATTTCGGCTCGTCGAATTTGGGGGGTATGCTGGGGCTATCTTTTATTTTTCGTCCAAAATCCGCCTGTAGGAGGAGATGCCCGACTCGGGGATGGACAGAACCCCCTTGAGTAAAACGTGATTCAGTGAAAACGACCTCGGGTCCAAACCTTGCGGGCGCAAGCCTGGAAAATGACGGCCGCGGCGCCCTCTCGAGAACCGAACACGGACAATTCACTGATCGAAGTGTCAGGGTGGGGTCTCTGTCCACCCGCGACCGGCCTAAGGGTGCACGGTTTCCCCCGGGGCCGTAGGCGACCCGAGAAGGAGGAGGAAGGAGGAGGAGGAGGAGGAGGAGGAGGAGAAGGAGAAGGGGGAGGAGGAGATGGAGGGGGAGGAGGAGATGGAGGAGGAGGAGGAGGAGGAGGAGGAGGAGGAGGAGAAGGAGGAGGAGGAGGAGGAGGAGGAGGAGGAAAAGGAGGAGGAGGGAGGAGGGATGAGGAGGAGGAGGAAGAGGAGCAGTAGGAGGAGGCCTAAGCCCTTCGGATAACCCACCACCGAAGGGTAGCGGTATAGGTACCTTTCCTCCGCCGAGTGCCCGCATTCAGGTAGTTGCCGACCTCGAGCGACAGCGCGAGCAGCCTCCGCACCTGTCGGGAGGAGCGCAGGCCGGCGCAGGCCTGCACGATGTCGTCCGCAGCCGCGCGGAGCGCGCCGCAGCGCTCGTCAAAGGCGTTCTCGAAGGCCCAGACCTAACCCGCCTTGAACTCATCCCTATCCCTACAGTGGAGGCCAGTCCACAGGAAACCTTCCACAAGAAACCCGACCCTGAGACACCAGGGCGTCCATTGAGAGAACGTCGCGCTTTCCACAGCAAAACCCTCGAAACCCAAGAAACACAGGGCACCCTGGAGGCAAGCAGGGTGTTTCTTGGCATCGGCCTCCACTGTGAGATCGGCAAGCCCGAGGCGATGACAATCTTAGATATGTGCCCTCAGAAGTCGAGCGGATCCTTGAGGTCGGCACCGAGGTGAGGTGGTGCCAAACATGAGGATGGGGATGTGTTTTGAGCAGGGACAGACCGTCCCGGTATTCCTATAGGCCTACCACGAAATGTTCTTAGAACCCAAAAATGCTATCATAACAAAATGTACTTAAACCAAAACCCCATGTGTTAAGACGAGGCAGTCCCAGCCAGAAATGCTCTAAGAAAATCTTGCGCAGACCACACAAGGTTCTCAGAACATTCTTTGCTAGGCCGAGAGGGGAGCCAGGACGCTTCGCCACTGCTTGAGCGTTTCCAGCTGATAAGGACCTGCAGGCGCAGCGCGAACGACGGCACCGCGCCCAGCCGCAGCACGAACGCCTCCGCGTCGTCCCAGCGGGGCGGCTCCTCCGCGCCCCCCGCGGACAGCTGCGCGGCGGCCCCGTGGAGGGACGCAAGCTCCTCCTGGGAGGGCGCGGCCACCAACAGCAGCTCCACCTGAGCAGCGAGAAGGAACGGGATGGGCCTGTTTTCCACCACCACCACCACCATAACCATAAGCTGGAGGTGGAGGGGGTACTCCTCCCCTTCTTCCTCTACTTTTCCCTCTTCCTCCTCCTCCTCCTCCTCCTCCTCCTCCTCCTCCTCCTCCTAACCCTCCACCTCCTTCCCCCCTCCAACTTATGGTGGTGTCGGCGGAAAACATGCCCATCAGGCCTCGCGCGAGAGCGCACGGCGGCCTTACCACGCGGCTTGCGCGGGCCGCCGGCGCGGCACGCCGCGCGGAGAGGGGAGCACCCGCGCGCGACCTTGCGCGAGGAGCCTGCGCGCGAATGGGCCGCGCAGTCGACCCCTGCTCTTTCCTGCCACTCGCCTGGTCCCTGCTGAGCGCCGCGTCGTCCATGTCGGTCACCGCCTCCACGGTGGCCTCGACTGGCGGGAGACGGGCCAGCATGATGCACACCTGCCGCCGCCTCGACTCCTCCAGCACCTGCAGCCGCGGCCTCGCGGGCGAGGGCCCCGACTGGCCGTCAGCGCTGGCGCCCGCACCGCGCGCCTTGGTCGGGTGCCTCTCGCAGAACAGGCGCTCCAGCTCGGAGGCGTCGAACCCCTCCACACACTCGTCTTCTATGGCGCCCCACACGGTCGATCGGCGCTCCGCTAGCGCCGCGCCGTCCAGGATGAATCCGCCCACCGCGCTCGCGCGATGGGTGGAGCAGCAGGATGATGGCGAACGGTCTGGAGCTGGAGCTGACGTGGGGCGGAAAGGTACCCGAGAGCTTGGACATGCTGCGCTCGCAAACGAGCCAGGCGAATATGCGGGTGTGCCACACGCACTGACATCATCGCGAAGCGGCAACAACTGTCGGCAATCGTTCTGCAGTGTTCCAAGGGCGACGCCTCCGGTACCCGCGACCACCGTCAAAAACATAGCCCCTGGCTGTGCTCCCTGCCGCACTCTCTGGCCTCTGGACGACTCTGGGGCAGCCAAAGACAGCTGCGCAACGGCTGCAAGGCGCCCCAAGACAAACCAGCGGTTCCGAGATCCCACAGGAGCCCAAGAGTATCCAAAAAGACTCCAGGACAAGCCAAAATAGACCTCTGGCGAGGCACGAAGAGGCGAAGAGCGTTGAAAAAAGCGTTGGCCATACATTTCGTGCCGTTCCCACGAGTTGTTCTGCTTAAAGCCACCTAGAGATATGTTCAAGTTGTTTTGCTTAAAGCCGCCTAGGGATATGTTCAGAGAGCCACAAGACGAGAGGCAAAAAGCGTTGGAAAAACGTTGGACGTATTTCCCAAGTTGCTCTGCTTAATGCCGCCTAGGGAGATGTTCAGAGAGCTGCAAAAAGCCTTCAAACAACGCAATAACGACCCGCAACAGCCCCAAGACTAGCTCTGGATGACCCCAGGACCCCCCAAGACGGCCCATGACCATCCAAAGAAGGCTCCAAAATAGCCGCAAGACCTGCCCTGACAGCCCCAACATAGTACCGTTCAACCGACAATCTTCGGGAGAGCTCGGTAAAGCCATGGCGCTTGAGACGGCCCTGGTATCCCCGACAGCCTTGCAATGGGCAAGGCCCCCAAGAGAGCCCCGAGAGGTCCCCCAGAAGTCCCCAAGACGAAGGAAGAGGGGGAGATCTTGGGGGAGACCGGCGCCAGTTCAGACGGGGCACTGCACTCTGTACCGACGCGGGCCTCAAACTCAACCTACTTCCGGCTGCGCTGCTGCGCTGGCGAGGTGGCTGGAAGAAGAAAGTGCTTGATAAACATACACTTCGGCGCTCCGCGCGGATGCCTTGGATCTGCGGTGGACCCCCCTCCCTGGCGCGCGGAGCGCGCCAAGGGCGGCGCCGGAGGCGCCGCCGGGGGCCCAGCGCGGATCCAAGAAATCCGCGCGAAGCGCCAAAAACTTATGTTTATGCTGCTCATTTTTCTTCGTGCTGTTGTTGCGCTGGCGAGGTGACTGAGGGGCAACGATATACGGGGGATGGGCATAGGGGGGGGGATGCATCGACCTGGCATCGGCGATACATCGTCGATAGATCGGCGATAGGCCCCCGATAGTGAATCCGCACCTTCCTGGGCGGGATGGAGCTATCGGGCCCCTATCGGCGATCCATGGGCGATTGGGGGCCGATGCACCCCCTCCTGTGCCCATTCCCCCCTTCGTTGCCCCCGAGTGGCGGGCTTCGCCGCAGGCTGCCGCATGAGCTCCAGAACAGGCGCTTCATCGCAACGCCGGGCTCCACGTCGGGCCTGCGCGGCGCGGGGCCCTTGCCGCCGCCCTTGGGCCCCGCGCCCTTCGAGGCCGCCCGAGGGGGCGGCGACGCGCCGTGCGGCGCCTTCGACGACGCCCGAGGGGGCGCCGGCGGCGCGGGCATCGGCGGGCCCTTCGCCTTGCCCTGCCCCTTGCCCCTCCCCTTGGCCTCGGGCGAGGGGCGCTCCGAGCCGCTGCCGCCGCCGTCGCCCGGCGAGAGCCCGCACCTGAGGGGCATCGAGAGGGGGGGGTGCCGGCTCGGGGGGGGGAAGCATCGACGTGGGATTGGCGATGCAGCGCCGACAGATCGGCGACAGGCTCCCGAGGGCCAATCCGCACGGCTGTCAGGCCCCGATCGGCGATGAATGGGCGATGGGGGGTCGATGCGCCCCCCCCTTACAGCCCACCCAGGCCCCCGACGTTGCAATGGTTGTTTCGCAACGTGGGCCCCCAAAGGTCTCGACCCATTCCCTGGGACCGTTTTCATCCCGAATCGTTTTGTTGATGATCCTGAAGCCCGCTACCGGCCACTAAAAGCGAAAATCGCCCAAATCCTTCCATGGCGATCTCCTTACGACACGGGGAGTCTGAATGCCCCCCCCCAGCCATTCCCCCCCATAGCTGGGGAAACCAACATGTACCGATACCGCTAACTCCCTGGACCTCTCCCGGGATGCGGCCTGACCAAAGATTCGAAGCGAATCCAGCGGCGGCGCCGAGGGCTCCCAAGGAGGCCCCAAAAAGGCGAAAACGAGAGTAGGGTACCGGCATGGGTACCTCAACCTCCTCCGAAGAACGTCCGAAGGACAAGAAAAGCGTAGGGTAGCGGTATGGAGTCTTTTCTCTTTCCTCCTCCAAATAAGCAAACAAGCAGGCAAACAAACAAACAAACACACAACCAAGCAAACAAACAAGCAAGCAAACAAGCAAGCAAACAGACAAACGAACACACAACTAAACAAATTACTCACTGCGTGGAGCTCCCCATACGCGCATCTAATCGCACGGACCTGTCCGCCGCGAGTGTCTAGGCGCAAGACCGTTCGAAAATAAACGGGTTTGAGTTGTGACGGTCCGGTCTTAAATCCAACTGCGAATGAATTGGAATGCGAACGGGCCTCAGCAGTGCGAGCGCGTCTCTGCGCATGAGCCTGGGGCCTCCTGGGGCCCCCATGAAACCTACTGGGGTTTCCTGGGGCCTCGAGGGGCCTCTTGGGGCCTCCCGGGGCCTCCTGGGACCTCCCAAGGAGGATTCGTGCCCCAGGAGAGGCCGAATCTATAGGAACAGACGTACATAAAACATTGCGGATTGGAACCACAGGGGAATGGCAACCTATAGGAACACACGTAAAACAAGATTTTGCCTGGATATGCATAACCCCTGCAAAATGTTCCGATAATATATCATGGTCAGTGGGCTCGGCCAATGACATGGGTAAGAAGAGATAGTGCCGTCAAGCATACACTAAGGTAACACTGGAGGGAGGAGGCCGGCCCGCCAGCCCGACGCACGCGCGCGCACTGCAGGTTCGCCCCTTTTCCGTTTCCCTTGATCCAAAGTGGTATAGCTGCGGAAACAGACCCAGTCAGTCGTCGGGCAATGCGCGCAACGCAAAGGAGCAGACAGGGCTAAAGGATGGTGGTGCGGAAATGTGCATTGACTCCCCCCGCGGCGGGGTCCGTAGAGCCGCCCCGACCCCCCAACCCACCTGACCTGTACAAATGTACAGCCACCGGAGCGAAACCCCAAAGCATGTTACCGCTCAGCGGTGGTTGCCAGGGGGCGGAAGGCAGAAAACATCCGACGTTCCCCGCCTGAGCTAAGATTCCCCAGTTCAGGCCACAATGCCCGTGCACACCTGGTGCACCCGTTCCATGATGCAGTTTGGACCAGCATCGGCAATGTCGTACTAGTTCCATTGTGCTGCGTCACCTTTTGCCAGCGACTTTTCCAGTCACGAGAATCATCCCATGTGTCTCTGTTTCTCCAGTTCCACTGGTTCTGATCCCTGGAGTAGTTGTCCTGTCTATGTTCTGTGTTCTCTTCTTCTTGAACTCCAGCCGTTTGGCTCAGTCTTGCCCTGGCCCTTTTCGTGCGGCCTCGCCTTCGACGTAGGCGGCGGCGGAGGCTCTGGCAAGGCATTTGGCATCCCAGAGTCACGTTTGAACTTGTCGTTGCATCCGTTCAAACTCAACCACTGACACGTTTTGCTATGGCCAATGACTCGCCGACGCCAGGATACATGCACGCAGTATCCTTGAATCCCACCAGACCTCTGGGCGTCGATGGTCTAGAGAGATTCCTCTTCCAACCCCCCTTCCGCCCCTTCGGGGAGGGGTTATCACTGCTCCCTATTAATAAACACCCAGTCCCCCAGGCGACTGGGGGCCAACCAGGGACCATGACGACCCCCCCCCATCATCCCTTGTAAAAAACAATAAAACATACACTCTGCCTCCAAATTCGGAACATGCGCAGCCAACCCGATGCGCCCCCCCCCCCCCCCCACCATCCCTGACAAAAAAAAAAAACAATACAGCGTACACTTGGCGGCGGCGGCGGCTGCGGCGGCTGCGGCGGCGGTGGCGGCGGCTGCGGCGGCTGCGGCTGCGGCGGCGGCGGCGGCGGCGGGGGCAGCGGCGGCGGCGGCGGCGGCGGCGGCGGCGGCGGTGGCGGCAGCGGTTGCGGCGGCGGCGGCTGTTTGGCAGCGGGGAACGGCGGCGGCGGCGGCGGCGGCGGCGACGACGACGACGACGACGGCGGCGGCGGCGGCGGCGGCGGCGGCGGAGGCGGCGGCGGCGGCGGCGGTGTAGCTACCCATCCAAAGACGACTGCTGCAGATGCTGAGGCTCGGGCCAGACTCGGGTGCTACGTATGTGTTGGGAGGACGGGTGGGAGTGAACGAGACGGCTTGCGGGCGGGGAGGGAGTCTTGACCCCTCCCCCTACCCCGTCCCCTGGACCGGGACGGGGGGTTCCGCGGGTCGCTGGGGCGTCTAAGATGGCCCAAGACGGCTCCAAGAGCGATAAGGCGGGAATGCAAAAAAAAAAAAAAAAAAAAAAAAAAAAAAAAAAAAAAAAAAAAAAAAAAAAAAAAAAAAAAAAAAACATGGATGTCCCTAGGTTGTGGAAGGATGTTGGCCTGCTTTGTGGCCCAAGAGGTGATTCGAGGCACTCTAGAGGGGCAGCGCGAATTGACCCCCCCCCCCTTCTTTGATAGATCTCCTCCAGCATGGCCCCAAGGGCGCCCCGAAGGCCCCCAAAAGCGCCCCAAAAGCGCCCTCCCTCTCGGCCTTCTGCTGAGAGTCTGACACCAGTGGTTCGGCTGTGCTCTGGATTCTCAATATTTCAATCTCCTCTTGGGCAAGGCGCCATTGGGCTTCGTCTGTGCCCCCTGCTACGCTAACCTCAGCGTGCTGTATCTGTTTCTGCGCATGTTCCACAATGCTGGTTTTCTCCTGCTCCATCGTTTGCACCACTGCCTGCCATCTCTGCCTCGGACCCTGCAACAATCATTCGTTTAGCCTCTTCGGCGGCCTTCTTATCTCCCTGCGCCTCAAGGACGATATGTTGCACAGGTGCGCTCGCAGCCCTCAACTGTTCCCGATCCTGTCTACTTCTTTCCGCCCACTCTTGAATTGCGATACGATGGCAGTTGTGCTCTTCCATCGCGACGCACTCCTCGCAAAGCCATGCCAGACTATTTTTGGAGCAAACATTCGAGCATTGAGAACGCACTGGCCTTCTACATGAACCCCCTGGTTCGTGCGCTTTCCCAGGGCGTCGATTCTCCGATCGAGTGGGGCAGGCGGGCCCGGCGTTCCAGCAGCCCCCCCGCACTGAGAAGCTGCTGGTGGTTCTGTTCGATGACATCCGCGGCGACTCAAAGGCATTCAACTCCCTGGAACTGGAACGCCCGGCCCTGGGGGGCTTACTGAAACATCCCCTTTGTCACTGCTGGGGGTAGGCGTGTGTTGTTCTCTTGTTCTCACACCCCTCTTGATGATATCAACGTCCGCACTCTGTGTTGAATCGTTTCTTTCGTCCTGCATGACGAGCTCATCAAGTTCTGGTACTCTGTCCCTGTTAGTCCCTGGCAATGAGAAGCCTGGTCGGTTGAAACTCTGCAAGAAGGGCGACGCATTTTAAGTCGTCGTTATCATCCTTCGGCTTCCTCGTCAATGGACAGGAGTCATGCCTGTAGTTTCTCGCATCTTCCTCACTGCACGCATGACGTCGGGGTAGACCGACATCGGCTGTGCCGACGAACATCCACCTCGGTCTGGGCTTCCTCCGCCTCCGAGATCGTCGTCCGAATCAAGAGTGGCCTTCTGACTGGCCTCAACCGTTACATGGTCAATCGTCGCACTCACTAACGGGTCTGAGCCCGCGGAGAGCCCGACACGCCGATCGTGGAGAGGACCGAGATGACGCGATGGACCAGGCGAGGTGTGGAATCGGGCACATTCGTCGTTCTTTTCAATCGAATGAGAACTATCCCCTTCCACTTGTATGTCGCTCACATCCTCGCTCTGCCCATGCAACGCGAACTGCGCCGCATGTCCCGCGCCTAGACTTTCGGCGCCCGACATTCCTATTGGGACGTGATCCAACAGCTTCTCCATCTCAAGATCTAGGTCGATCGACGGCTGAAAGCCACACCAACTCAGATGGTCCCTCGGCGGAAGTCTCGGCTGTGCCATACCTTCCGCCCGAGGATTGCGCTCTGGACCTTGTGACCGAAACAACCGACGAATCCCCTTCTGCCAGGTCAAACACAGTCTATGATGCTAGCTTCCTGGGAAGGTTAAGAGAATTTGGTCGCCTCGTTGAGGCACCTGCACTTTCGTTACGCTCGCAAAGGTATCGATCTTCTGTTCGTCCGAGCGCTCCTTCTTGTTGACCCCGTGCTCTGCGAAGCTAACGGTTGTGCCGTCGTTTCGGCTGATAACCAATCTTTTACCTGGATCTTCATAATCCCTGCAGAATGTTCCGATAACATATAATGGTCAGTGGGCTCGGCCGATGACCTGGGGAAGAAAAGCTAATGCCGTCCAGCATACACTAAGGCAACACTGGAGGGAGGAGGCCGGCCCGCCAGCCGACGCACGCGCGCGCGCCGCTGGCTCGCCCCTTTTTCCGTTTCCCTAGAGCCAAAGTGGTATAGCTGCGGAAGCAGAAGCAGTCAGTACGTCGGGCATTGCGCGCAAGGCAAAGGAGCAGACAG